GCTGGAGTCACCTACAATGGAATCTGAACAGCTCGACTGTAACCATTGGAAAGATCTTTCGATTATACTTTTTTATCTTATCAAGGAAACCACAATGTTATCAAGTGTTTAGTTTCTCAGGCAGTCTCGGAGTGTTCTGTCATTATTGCTGTGCTCCCTACAAATTTATGATAGCTAAGTGTGCCATGTGAGTGATGAACGTCAAGATTTCCATTTGCATCTGCTCAAGCGTTCACATTGTAAGTACATTATGTGACAAAGGATTTGAAATACTCTTATCTGCATAAGTATTCACTATATTTAACAGTCCACCGCATGTTACTTATATCATTGTTTCATCTAAGATAATACCTACGTTGTCTCATTCTAACGCAAAATCTTTAATCATGAATTCTTGAAGATATACAAAAGTAAACCTTATAAGACAAATCTCGTTAAATTACATTAAAAGAGTTGTCATAATTGTAGAATTATTTCTTTTTCTTTGACATAATTTTACAATGATTCATGATGATTAATCAACGATTGTTATTCTAGTACCTGATAAATTAGAAATTGTTATGACATTTGACAAGGAAAGCGATGGAGTTCATCCTTCCATTCCATGTTTTTTTACATATCAATGCAAGGCAAATTTTACCGTTCCATCTGATTGAGTAACGAAGATAACTGATGTGGCAGAGTTATTTGTTGCTCCAGATCCCCCTTCTCCGCTTTCCGGCTTCCTTGCCGGCTAGAACTCAGGGCCCTGAAAGTCTTACCTACCGCCAAATTACAAAAAACTAGAACGTGTTATAATAGAACCAAAAATGTTGTTAATAGAGATAGTCTTCTGTTATTTCTGTTATTATGGTGGTAACTTCTCCAGATGAGAACTGCAATCTCCAATGCCAACAACTGCAATCATATACCAGCATCGGGAAAATAAGAATGATTCAACTGATAACTTTCATAGTTTTAGTTCTACAGAATTTTCTGGCACAGTGTTTGAGGCATGTCATTTGGCATTATCATTACAAATTAATTGCTGGTATATGATTGCAGTTGTTGGCATTGCAGATTGCAGTGCTCATCTGGAGAAGTTACCATTATCATGGTAATTTGTAATCATAATGCCAAATGAGGCATGGTCACGGTAAGGCAGAAAGGAGATATTTATACAAAGTGAAATTTAATAAGCTATCATGTAGAAGCAGCAGTTTTTGTTATTAAAACAAAAGGAGGGAAAACAATCCTTAATGAGAGTTACTCCAATTTTCCTGAAAAGTAGTCAGAACATAAAACATAGCGATATGGGATTGGGTGTGTTCTTACCATCAAATTCATTTTGACTTTGAATGAGAGAGAGGACCCCTGATGATCTTTGTACATCAGGGGTTTTTACACTGCAGTGTGCTCGTTTTGTTTGTTCTACTGGTAAAAAATAGGATAAAAGTATTAAATCAGTTATCCTCACTTACACGTTCTATGAGATGGGACAGGATTTCATGGTAAAAAGAAAAAGTCCCAAAGTAGGTAAGCACTGTTTGCCTGTGTTATAAGCTACTAGGGTAACGGATAGAATACGTATACTGATACATATATATTTATATAGAAATACATATTTCACATCTATGACTGGAGTACAAATGCTTGTATTCATCACACAAACTTCTTCTCCCACCGGGATTCGAACCCGGGTCCTCTCGAGAAGGCGATACCTTGAAACCCAGCGTACAAACCACTCGCTCAAGAAGGTCGTCAAAACAGAAATTCGCCCATTTCGCTTATCAAATTCCAAAAGCAATGTTTATCCAAATGGATTGAAAATTAAAATGTTCTTATCTTCTACCTATTTAGATTATATTATAACAGTTACGTATAAACAAACATTTGGAGTATGATAATCATGATCATCACTATTTCACACTGCTTTAGCATCTTTACTTTTGCGGTTATTCATATTTTTTTTGTGATTATATGTGATATTTTACAAATCGTTGTTCAAATCTCTTTTAAGATATTGTATCAAATATTTTTTTTCACTGTTTACTGTTTGAATATTAACCATGTAAGCAACTTTCGCAATGGCAAATTGTAAGGAATGAGTGACCAAACACTTTTTATCTCGAGCCCCTTCATACCTCGGAAGGCACGTTTAAACAATAAGTCTTATTTGTTTCTTAGGTTTTCACGCACATCACTCATTAAATGAAAACAAGTTTCAAAGGGTTAGATGCAATGATTTTATTTATTTATTGACGTTTCGCAACCTTTGCAGGATTGCGTCGTCAGAAAAATGCTTTTTTTTTGAAACGTCAATAAATAAATAAAATCAGTGCATCTAATCCGTTGAAACTTGTTTTATTCAATTAGTCCTGATTGATGTCGTACGGAATAGTATTGTTGAAAAACGCCGCCGACTTTCAAACTATTTTTGTGCAGAAGAGAGCTATACAATCAATTTGTAATCTTAAAGTTAAGGATTCCTTAAGAAATAGGTTTAAAGAATTTGTAATAATGACGGTCACGTCACAATACAAATACGAAAATTTATTACTTGTAAGAAAAAATATTAATTTGTTTCTTAAAAACAGTGATGTTCACACACTTAATACAAGAAGCAAAAATAAACTAACTTAACCTGCTACAATGCTTCACAACATCAATAATTAATTTAAAGGTATTTGTGTTCGCTTGTACAATAAAGTCCCAAGCAATATCCAAGAGTTAACCATAAATAAATTTAAAGTTAGTATAAAAAAAGCTTATTACATAGTGTCTGATTAAATTTCAGACAAAAATGCTTGGGTTTGAACTGTTCCAATCATTCCAACACGTTTTCTATGTTAAATAAATCATGATTGTAATGACGTTGTAACAACATAATGATTTGTAAATGTTGATGCATTAATTTTGTGGAGTTTTTTTCGCTCGTTTATCTCCGCAGCTAAAAAAATTGTCCAATAACGAGTGGTAGGGGAAAACTATTTTTGAACGATTCAAAAGTGTTGTACTATACATCCAATTTGAATAAAGATATATTGGATTCTGAATTCTGATTCTGAATCTGCAGTGCACCCACCACTCACCAATAAGAACAGGTCTGCGTGGTGATTTATGGCCTAAAATCTCTATTCCATCCATAGGGAAGGCCTGTGCCCTAGCAGGTGGAGAATTTAATAGGCTATCAATGCCAGACATGTTATCCCTCTACGAAAATATGAGATGTTGTTGCCTGTACGTACATTAAAGTTTAAAAGAATATCTGAAGAACTAAAAACGTTTATTGTGTAATGGAATGGAACGTGAGTTTAACCACGATAAGATTCAGAGATTAAAATTGCAGAAGAAACTGTTTTATCAGCACTCGTGTGTAGCATAAACTCAGCTACTAGCGTTTTACAGAATATATTTATCTTCATTCGGTTAATTGGAATTTACTTCCAAAATTGTCTAACTTTAGGTTGCACTGAGAGACATCAAGTTAATCTAATAATGCATTAAGTCATAGATGAACGATTGCATTATGCAATCATTTATCTATACATTAAAGTAATGTCCATAGTTGTCGTTAAGAAGTTGATGTTCGAAAGCCTTAGTTTTATTTGGGATGAAGCCACGAGAAAATTTTGTGGAGTGTTATTCTCTTGAAATATCTAATGTTTCCATAAAGCCAAACGAAATCAAAATCATTTAGACTTTAAGACGATGACGTAAAAGTTCATGTTGTTCATTTTTAGGCTTAAAGTACTAAAACTTCGATCTCTACCAGTCTCTACAGAAAGACTAAGTATCATTATTTCACTATGGGAATTTTTATAATATTAAAAAACAGACGAAAACAGACGCACAGATTTTTAAGATTATGGCTGAATCAGACTTTTTTATTCATAACATCACTACCAAAGAGCAAAGATATTATAATTTACAAATCAATGTAATGTCTTGTCCCACAATGTTTTAAAATGATCAGTAGACTTAAGGACTACTCATAACAAACTCTTTAAGCCCGAAAGTTTTCTCTAGCTAGAACTTTTAAAAAAGACAATATACTAAGACTATACATGTCAAAATTTCTACAGCTTTCAAATAAACAGCTGATCTTAAAAACATTTTTCATTATTTTATTAGCCTAGTTTGAAGAAAACTTTTCAAAGATATAAAAAGTAATGAATTTAAGTGATAAAGTTTTCAAAGTGCAGGTAAAAATGATTTTGTTTTGTGAAACCTTTTTATGAAGTTACAAAAGCAATAATTTCTGTGATTAATTTCGTGGGAAAATATAAACTTGAAGAGAAATGAAATATGAGAAGAAAGGTGCTAATATTAGAATGTTAACTGATCAAAGAGAAAGAAAACTAAAGTAATTATCAAATAAATCTAGGAATGAGACATAACGATCAATGATGCGAGTGTAATAATTGGAAACCTTTGCTTTGGATAGTAAGTTAGGTATATCTACAACTCAAAGGCTTTTATTATAATATACACCCTAGGTAAAGGTCGCGACACGGAACGCTAGCGCTGAACAAGACGCGTCAGGGATAGCTACGCATGGGTGCGACTGGAGAGACAATCGGCGCAACACACGCCCACCCGCACACCTCGTTTCCCCCGAACACATCTTAATTATTAGTTCTGCGCAATAACGGTCAGCGCTAGAGTTTTGTGCCGCGACTTATAGCGACAAAAAATTGTATCACAATCGAGTCGTTCGTAGTCGTCGGGCGGCCGCAGCATATGAGATGCACAGGCGAAGGACGCAGACGACTTTTTTGCAGCTGATACCGCCAGCACGCCTGGTCTGTTGTTGACAGACGTTGTAAGACTGTACTTGTTGCGTTTCTATACAAATTAACACGAAGACGTTGGAAATAAGTTGTTCGTCTCAGTTAGCCAGCACTAATGATTATTCTAAAACATCTATTGAACACTAAATAGATAATAAGCGAGTTGTTCGGCAGGACATCGCAGGAAACTGGCCAGATGTGGTATAGCCGACGGAGCAGCTGCGATCAATGGCGAGCGGCAAGTGGCGGGAGTTCAGGCGCGTGGTGCAACGGCGACGCGTGTTCCAGCAGGACCAGCTCGAGACTAGCGACTTGAAGAGGTAAGGTTTTAAAATATCCCAGAATATGTGGGTCAATCTGGCAAACATTTTCTCGAATGTAAGTCCCGTAAACTCAGGCGGGTGATGTAGCGGCGGCGGGTCTTCCAGTAAGACCAATTGGAGAAAAGCGACTTGAAGAAATTCAATTCAATTCATTTATTTCAGCCATTGAGCCATATAAACCACATAAAAAACAAGAATAATAATAATAAAATCATACAAATTACAATCAAAAATAAAATAAATACAAAATTAGAAATATCAACAACAAAATAATCTAAATAATTACAAAATGAACATTAAAAATTAAAAATAATTGTATTAATAAGTTATTGCATTTCATTGAATTTTACAAGTACATTTGTCCAGTGATTACTTATAGGACACTCGGACCTACCCCCTACAACCTTCAAGATGCTATTGTGGCTGTCGTAAACTCTCTTCATGAGAGAGGTAACTTTTTTGCGCATTATTGCGTAGAAGTCATTTGTTCGCGCTTCGGCAAACATACTCGTACCTGACGCGCTGCAGCGCCACGGCAGCCCCAACAACATCCTGAAAGTATTATAATACTGTACACTTAGTGCGTTGTATGTCTTCTGCTTATAACTCACCCATAGATTGCCAGTGTAAAAAGATTGGCAGAAAGCCTTAAAAAGGGTTAACTTAACTGGCTCTGAAGACCGTGCAAACCTACGGGCGATCATGTTGCTTCTGACCGCCAACGCCCTACGCTCTCGCTCAATATCTTGGTCATCCTTCAGGTCTTCTGTTAATATATGGCCCAGATATTTGTACTGCTGAACCCTCAACAACTCCGCCCCGCATAGCCTGACAGGAGGCACCATTTGTGGAGAATTGTTACCCGCGGTGAAAACTATTATCTCAGTTTGTGTAGTGTTATATTTTAGCCCGTGAACTTTTGCATAGGTCTCACACACGAGCAACAAACTCCGGAGCGCACTCATCGACGGGCTCAGCAGCACCATATCGTCCGCGTAACTGATGTTGTTGACATTAACGCCATCGATTGAACATCCCGCATGCATGCCGCTGAGCTCACGGACCAGCTGGTCCACGTAAAGGTTGAAAAGCCTAGGAGAGGTCAAACCCTTCTTTCTCACCCCGCACTCCAACCCGTATTCCTCCGATAGCTCGTCCCCCCATCTCACACAATTTACCTGATGCTCATACCAGTGCCTGAAGATGCCTGTGAGCTCAGACGGGAGATTCACCCCATCCAGTTTATTCCATAACACTGGATATGACACCATATCAAAAGCTTTTGACAGATCTAAGAAGCACGCATACACAGGCGTGCTTCTGTCCGTGTAGTATCTAACGGTGCTCTTAAGCGCCAAGATGGCACTCTCTGTCGATAACCCTTTTTGGAAACCAAATTGGGCATCGTGCAGATTAATGTGGTCACTCAAGCGGTAAGTGAGCCCCAGCATGTTTAAGAAATAAGGCGTTGAAATATTTTAGAATATAAGGTTTGATCTGGCAGCTTTGCACTAACGTGATTCCTGGTTTAATAGTTTAGATAACACTTAGGCTGAGCTAATACTTTATTTATATTTCAATAGTTTTACCGTCTTATTACAAAACGATGACTAAAGTTAAACCACTTCTAAAAATCAGACTGTCACTTTTGTAAGCTGAAGAGAAGGTAGAGACAGAATAATGTTATACTAACAAAGTCTAAATTAAGTTCATGCTTTGGAATAAAGCGGTTGCAGTTAGTAAATATGAGTTGCAGTAAGTTACAGCTGTAGATAGCATCACAATAAAGCTTTTACTATAGTTTTGTGAGAACCACAGCTACTGCACGCACATGTTACGAAACTTAGGAAGTCTGTTACTCAAATTAGGTAAACCGTGAGGTTTACTAACAACAACATTGTGTAGAATATAGAAGCGTTACCCTCGCCTTGCCATGAACCAATAATATATGTCCTTCCTAAGAAGTAACAGAAGAAATCATTTTAATTTAAACTACACAATACTCAATCTACATTTCAGATGTTTGACCGGCTGGGATCTGACGGCCCTGGGCCTGGGCAGCACCCTGGGCGTGGGTGTTTATGTGCTGGTGGGCTTGGTGGCGCTGCAGTACGCTGGGCCGTCCATCATCCTCTCCTTCCTGATTGCAGCAATCGCATCAATGTTTGCTGGTAATTCTTTCATCATCGCCATCATCCTATTAATGCCCTCATTGCTGGGACATATGGGTTCTCTATGATGGCATAGAGAAAATCGGCTATGACCAACTACGCGGGACCATTGTAGTTTGGTGAGTGCTTACGACAGGCGATGCAGCCGGGACTAACAGATTAACGTGCCTTCCCATTCAATGATTTGCCATCGTGCTAACCACCTATGCCATCGAGCTGTTCATATTTTTTTAGTTGCTAATAAAAACAAAAGCCGTCACGATCATGAAGACATGACGCTTCTCGCCCTTTGTTCGACACATACAAAGAATTAAAACTACTTAGTAAATATGTAGTATTGAAGAGTTAAAATGTACCAAAGTGTAAACCCATTACGACTGAATTCAAAAGAGCGATTAAAAAGCCATGTGATTCTAGTATTTAGAAACCGGCTGGCATGGCCTATAGACACGAGTTGGCAGCACTCGTTCGTTACCATCTGGAGCTCTTATGATCTTTAGAATTGGTTGTCTTCTGTATGGTGGGGAATTATGTTCTGCGGCGGAAAGTCCGCTGGTCTTTTGGTCAGGAAATATCTACTGTCCTAAAGTCTGTAACACTACTCTAAGAGTAACAATTTATTAATTTTAACCAATATTATGGTAAACAAGTATAATAAACTTTAGGATTTTCAAAGTAGCGGTGACTAACTATTTTAAGATAACAAGCTATGATTAATAATACGTTAAGCGCCGAGTCTGTTTCTCGAAATTCATGGGTTGTTATCACACCTCCTCAAACAATTGCAATACTACAAGATCAGATAAGATAATTTAGATTTCTGGAAATCAGTACTCCGATTTTTTACGTAGGTGCTTAATTAGATTTCGTTTATTAACTTACATATTATTATCGAGGTTTGATTTATGATCCGTTATGTATTAGGGATAATTCGTACTTTACGCTTTTTCCCGGTGTTGTTTAATGATGACTTTCATCCCTACATTGTTTATGGTTCACAGACTCGTACAAAGCGATTGGCCTCCACCATTTTAATACGCACGGCTAAGACGTGGAATGACTTCACTGCGCCTATTTCCCGGACCGTTATAACTTCGATCTCTTTAAGGCGAAAGTAAACAGGCTTTTATTGTCATTGTCATATTGAGGAAAATTCGGAGACAAACGCGCAAAGAGTCACCTTCTTCTTCTTGCAACGGTTTCCGCAACTTGGCGTCCTTTTGGCACCTGTTTTGCGTGAGGAGGGTGTGTAGCCGGAATCATTCCAGCCAGCCTAGCTCCGTTAGGAACATCCCCAGGGCCTTCACATTGGTAATTGCCTCTTGGAGGTTTCCCGGTGAGCCGAGGTATTTCGCCCGGTATTCGGCCACTCCGTTGCATTCTAACAGAACGTAGTAGTAGCTGTTTCTTCTGCCTCCATGCATCCTCTGCATACGGGACTGTCCGTGACACCTAAGTTAAAAAGATGTCTGTTAGAATGGGCATGTCCGGTAATAGCATCCCTTGCGGGCCAGCTCATCCCCAGCGTCGTTTCCGCGTGATCCACTGTGTCCCTTGATTCATTGGATAGTAAAAGAGTTACTTTAAAAATACTCTGTTACCAACCAATATGTTTGTTTGCTGCCATTTTATGTAAATGTCCTTACTGCTGTGCAATGCTGATAAGTTTCCTCCATCCATTTTATTAACTCATCAGCAAAAAGATGTACTGAGTGGGTGATAAGAAAAATTTGATGAGTTACAGGAACTTTCTAATAAGTCAATTTAAATAAAGTTTATTTTCATTTCATTTCATCCTTTTCATATACACATGCTTTTGTTTTTTAGGGTTGTGTTATGCGGAGTTCGGTGCCCGGGTGCCTAGAGCGGGATCTGCATACATCTACACGTATGTCACAGTCGGAGAGCTGCTGGCTTTCCTAGTTGGATGGAACAATATTCTCGAATCAGCTTTTGGTGAGTTTTTTTTTTCATTTTAGGCAGATTCTTGACAGTAAATAAGCGTCATGGAGTATTGACGCTTGTATCTTTTTAGCTGCTAATCGTGTGTCTAATCATATTTCGTATAATATAAGTTTAGTAGCGTTATCGTATTAACATAACATCCAAGAATATATTAAAGATTTTACTTTTGAAATTAAAAGCATGGGAAAAGATAAATACTGAGAGGGATACTTGACCCACTTTCACCTTCCCGATCAGAGATTTAATCCTCATCTCTACAAGCTCTAAGCAACTAAGATAAATAATGTAAAAAAATACGCGTAGAAATCTTTGGCGGAAGCCAGTGGGCATTGTATTGCTAGATTATTTATATGATGATGTTGATAACATTTGTTGTCTACAGGCACCGCGAGCGTAGCCCGGGGCTTGAGCATATACGTGGACACCATGACGAACAAGACCATGTCTAGCTGGTTCGAAAGCGCTCTTCCCGTGGGGACCAGTCAGCTGTCGCCTCACTTCGATCTGTTCGCGTTCCTAGTTGTTCTTCTGCTGGGAGGTAAATTAAAGAGATTCTTTAAAGTTCTTGTTCTTTACTGTTTTGTTCTATTCGCAAGCGACTATGAGTTCAACAGCGCAGGCGGATAGCGCATTCGGTCTGAGATCGTGAAAGTTAAGTAATTGTTACTTAACTTTCACGATCTCAGACCGAATGGTCGATCATTGGATGGGTGACCAAATCTTATTATCTTGAGCTCCTCCGTGCTTCGAAAGGTACGTTAATCGTTTGGTCCCGTTGCATCTGCAGTCGTTATACCGACCAATCTGCATTAGGGCGTTTTGGGCCATAACCCAATCTCCCTATTCCATCCATAGGGAAGGCTTGTGCCCCAGCAGTGGGGACATTAATAGGCTGGTGATGATGATAATGGGGGCGCGTACTATAAGACGCATCATGCAGAATCTTTAGATCAAAAATTGTTTTAACAGTTATTGCCAGTTGATGAATTGACGTCTTTCGTGACGTCAAAGTGCAAAAGACTATTTTTTGGGATCTAGTTGGATTTCCTGGTGCTTCTGTTTCAGTTTTCTTGTGTAAACAATTAAAGTAAGAAATTAATCATTAATTGACATAAACCTTCTTTACTGTTAACCTTACTCTTTACTGTTTCCTTACTCTTGACTGTTTACCAAATCTTATTATCTAGAGCTCTCCGTGCTTCGAAAGGCACGTTAATCCGTTGGTCCCGTTGCATCTGCAGTCTTTGCCCTTAGCACGGACCATTATCGAATTCGAATTCGTACTCGCAAACTATACGAATTCGATATTGGTTCGTGCTAAAGGTACTGCTCAAACAAAATATCTTAATTTATTTGTCAATGGTTACGTTATTTTCATGTTTATTGTTTGTTTTATCAGAACAATGGCTGTAATGTGTGTTTGCCTCTACCGTAGTGTTGCTCGCGTTCGGAGTGCGTGAGTCGTCAATGGTGAACAACGGACTTGCGGTCGTCAACACCTTGGTCATCATATTCATAGTCTTCGCGGGAGCTTTTAAAGGTACAACGTTCAAAATGAAAATTATACTTGTGACTCGCCCTAGCTTCGCTTCGTAGAAGTCTATAGGTTTTGTCCTCAGACATGTATATTACATATAACCCGTCCTCTTTGTAATGGCCGGTCATATTTGATAGCCAAAAGTATATTTGATATCTCCAACTCATGCGTGCTTTAGAAAATATATTAAGCCGTTAGTTCCCGTCCCGATTTGTCGTCATGAGTACTTACCAATCCGCTCTAGGCGTCCAATCTCACTGTTTCGTCTATAGCAGTGTTTCCTAACCTTTCCAATACTGCTACCCCTGTAACCTATAAGAAACAGATTTTACCCCGACTTTAAAATGTTATCATCAGTCCAAGAAATTCCAATTTGGTCGCTACATCTTCGTCTCTACTAATGTCATCATCAGGAGATAATCTCGCCCCGCTTCCCACACTCAGCACCCTGAGCAAGCAAGAAGTAGCGCATGCTCTATTTAGTAGTATTATTTAGATTTGACCAATAATTAGGTTCTTTGTTACCCCCGAAGTATAGCTGATTTACCCCTGGAGGGGTAATTACCCCCTGGTTCGAAACCCAGAGTCTATAGATTAGATCGGTGGTGAGTGGAGATTAATAGGTTGATGATGAAGGTTGAAGTGACTTCATGCAATATAATTAAGGTCAAATGTAGACCTGATATTGAATGTGTTTTAAATGTTTTTATAATGAAATTTGTAAGATGACAGGGAAATGGAACCCTTCCTCTGCAAGTCCAACTCGCACTTTGCCTTTATTTTTTATACTTTTTATAATTTTATAACTATTTAACATTTTTATTATTTCACATAATGCAGGCAGTTTCAATACAAATGTAATAAACTGCTCTTAACCGATATCGCTCGAAGGATTGCTTTGCTGAAGTGGCAGATGTAGCAAGAAGAACCGATGGCCGTTGGGCGGAAAGGTTCTGGAATGGCGACCACGCACCGTGCGAGACTCAGTGGGTAGGCCCCTAAGTCGGTACAAGGTTGACCGGCGATCTTGTGAAGGTCGCGGGAAGCCGATAGATGCGAATGGCGCAGGACCGAGGCCTTAGGGGAGGCCTATGCTCAGCAGTGGGCGTCGTACGGCTGACATGATGATGATGATGAGACTGCTTTTGGTTGTAGGCTTCTGCTGCTGATCACGATATGTTAATATATAAATAATAAAAAAATAAAAAAAAATAAAAATAGTTTATTTCGTTAACCTTATTTCACAATAATATTCTGTGGCCAGAACTACCCAGGAAGCATGTAGTGATGCTTGTGTTGGGCGGTTCTGCTCCTCCCTAGGATCTCATACATTTAGGTATTAAGGTAACTAAATAACTACTCCACTTAACTTTAAATAATTACAAATAACTTTTTCTTTTAAAGGATAAAATTAAACTAAATACTGGTATGTGTGTTTGTGTGTGTGTGTGTGTGTGTGTGTGTGTGTGTAGAACCTATATGATAGGACATTCTATATATAAAGCTTCAGATCCTCCTACGTGTATCGCTGTAATTATTTTTTCTTCAGCGAACAGTTACAACTGGCGGATTCCTGCCGAAGAAGTGCCGGAGGGGCGCGGGTCGGGCGGGTTCTTCCCGTACGGCATGCTGGGCATGCTGCGCGGCGCCGCCATCTGCTTCTACGGATTCGTTGGGTTTGACAGCATCAGCGCATCGGGAGAGGAGGTGAGCGTCAATTTCCCCACTGCTGGGGCACTGGATTTCCCTATGTATAGAATAGGGAGAATGGGCAGTGATCCACTAAGTGGGCCCACTGATCAAGGTTTTAGATGCAACCGGGGCTTAACGTGTGTTCCGTAGCGTAACAGATTTTTTAATAAAACAACACATATTGGAAAATTGTATTTTTTTTTCTTTTTTTCTTTATGTATGGGGTATGTGACAAACCCTATTTTCGTTCTGAGCCTACCACTGTACCTTGTGTGTTGGTACGACTTTACGGCCGACGCCAGCACCAATGAGCGAGTAGTTCACTTCGAGTCCCCGACATGTAAGCAGCTATCAACAGCTCTAAAATAATTTTCCGTTACATCAAGTGAGAGTACCATTTTCTCTGGAAGATATCGTGAACCTTCTGACCTGTGGACTCCTATGTGCGATATATTGCCGGCAATAGTTTCCCAAGAGCGTTGACGAGCCCCGTTCTGAAGCCTAGCCCTCGGTACCCGTGGCGGTGTAAGGAGCGTTTGCGGTAAGTCGCCGAACCCCGGCTTTTATCATACAACGTGCTTCCTGAAGTACGGATGACCTCAAGATGAGACAGGTAGGGCTCGTCGGATTTTCTGGGCGAATTGGACCGCTCGGCTGGGGAAGCCCAGACGAGCGGTCCAAACCCTCGCCTTACAGAAGACCACAGTAAAATAACACTACATTCTGGTGGTGTGGGTTCCAGGGCTTCGTGGGGCAAAGGATTGGGTTCAAGCCGAGGATAAATAGCCGAGCAAGAAGAGGATAAATCAAGCGAAAAAAAAGGACAGTAAATTTTGGTCCTGGCTTTCTAAACTTCCACTATTTCATAGATCCGGTCGTGCTGACCACTTGCATTATCGAATTCCTCATGCTAACTTATCCCAAATTAATTATCAAAGACCAGCTTTCGTCGGCAATCTAAGTTTATAAGGGATGCCACAGAAATATTTTCTCGGGAGAAAGTGTCCTCTTAACCCCTAGGAAAAAAATATGTATTTTTAAGGAAATTTTGTAAGGTAAATTTTGGGCGTCGAAGGTAATTTTAGGAATATCTAGGTAATCTATGATAGGATCTGTATTATCTTTTTCTAGGTGAAGGAGCCACGTCGCACTATTCCATTCGCCATATTGACCGTCCTTACCATATTGTTCATCGCATATTCCAGCGTCGCCATAGTGGTTACCATGATGGTCCCATATTTCGAACAGGTAAGAATTTTTTGCAATTTCTTCAGTTTTATGGTACTAAGACATATTAAGATTGTAGTTAACAGTTTTTTTAATAATAAAATGGGATTAAAATGTTACAATTAAAATCATAATATCAATGTAAGAAGAAACGTGGTAGGATGTGATTTTATATTCTGTGGAATATAAAATAAAATATATACATTATATACACAGTGGTGGTCTCATAATTAAAGACACCCCCTAATTGAATATAACACAAACTTTTTTAACGTACTTGTAGCTGGCCAGCTAATTAGAGACAGTAAAACTGTGTTCTGAATTTAAAAAATAAAGAAAAAACTGCGTTTTGTTTTTTTTTAGTTTTGCCGCGTACTTTCATGAAACATCGATATTACATATAAAACCAAAATTTTTAATTAAAATTAATGCGTTTAAAATCCAGCAATATGGGAAGAAACAAAGAGTTGCGATTCGTCCACTAGGAAGATTGTTTTCAACTTTTTTAATAAAGATTGGTCATACAGAAAAAAGCAAATCAGTTGAACTGTTCTAAGGACATGGTTTTGAATGCTATAAAACATTTCAAGAAGTTCAACAAGACCGAAAACGTACCAAGAAAACCGAGACCAAGAAAAACTATGTGAATTTTTCATCACTACTGTGCTTTTCCATTGCAACAAAAAATTAATCTTAATATTTCCAGGACGAGAAAGCGGCGGTGGCGGCTGCATTCACGTCCGTGGGGTGGGACTGGGCGAGATGGGTGGTCACCGTGGGTGCAATATTCGGTATCTCTGCCAGGTAAAAATATACCATTTACAGTAAGTCTAAAAAAAGTTTAACTAGAAAAATATCCACGTGGTCTAGGCATAAAATTGCAATTTTATTGTTTTTTTGAAGTTATACTTCTTTAGGCGCGTTATGAAAAAATGATGAGAGTGAAATTTTAAGATGCGCGCGCATCACTGTAACACAAAATTTTAACAGCATGAAGTTGGTCGCACATTAAGAAAATCTACCAACAAAATAGTAATAGAATCTCTATTTAGTGGGTGCTAACGACTGCATTGTGAAGGCCTATCAAAAGTATTTATTAATCTGGAACAACGGAACCAAAGCGCGATTCAGGAGACTACAGCGCCATCTCTTGACCATTGGTGTAGTAGAACCAAAAACCACATCTTTATTTTTTGTAATAAAGTAACAGTTACAGGTATTCATATTTATAATATCAAAAGTATTCATTAATCTGGAACAACGGAACCAAAGCGCGATTCAGGAGACTACAGCGCCGTCTCTTGACCATTGGTGTAGTAGAACCAAAAACCACATCTTTATTTTTTGTAATAAAGTAACAGTTATAGGTATTCATATTTATAATATTTAGCCACATGTTTCTAGTTTGTATATTCGGAATACGTGTTTGAGTTTCATACAAGTGCAAATCACATATGTTCTAATAAATTATATTCAGTAGCGATTTTAATTGAATATTTTGATTATTTATTTATTTTTTCAAATTAAAACTGAACTTTATTGAATGTGTCCTTTTCCAGACTTTTTATTAATTTATTGTAATTAATTATTTGCATGCAATTAAAAACTAATTTTAAAACATGCCAAAGAAGGATAACTTCTCACGCGCCTACATAAGTACACGCACCCATTTTTTTTCTACTAAAACTTTCTTTTCATTTATAAATTTAGGGTAACTTTAAAAGTTTTTGACTTGTGAGTCGAGTAAAATTTGCTGAATTCAGTTTCATATCCATTTTGTGCAACACGGCGCGAAGCAAAAGAATTTGCGATTTTCGTTATAAGAAAATTACTCTACCCATTTCAGCGCTCCACAGCTAAAAAAAATACGCTCAATTGGCCTAATCATCTAATAATGTTAAAAAGAGCACAAGCTGTTCTTATGGATGGAATAGGAAGATTGGAATTGCCCAATGTCGTCTAATGTATGTTCTTTTGTGTCCCATGACCCATGACTTACCATGTGGCCACGATTGGCCCGGACCAATGGCTAACATACCTTTCAAAGCACTGAGGAACTCGAAATAGTAAGTTTTTGATGACCCATCCTATCTACTAAACCACTGTGAAATTGTGCTCCCCAATAGGGCCTTACCCTTAACGATTTTTTTTGGTATTGAAACATCTTAATGGTATTAATATACCACGCAACACGGCGCGAAGCAAAGGAATTTGCGATTTTCGTTATAAGAAAAATACTCTACCCATTTTTAGCGCTTCACAACTAAAAGAAATACGCTTAATTGACCTAATCATCAGTCTAATAACGTTAATAAGAGCACAAGCTATTCTTATTGATGGAATAGGAAGATTGGGCTTGCCCAATTTCTTATATTTTAAAGTTCTAAACTTTAAAATTCCGTGGTTGTTGTCAAATTTACGTTATTTTTATGATAATTTCCAGCTTGTTCGGCGCCATGTTCCCCCTGCCTCGTCTTCTTTACGCGATGTCGTCGGATGGGCTGCTGTTTCACTGGCTCTCCCACGTGTCCGCTTCCCGACAGACACCCATCGTCGCTACAGTATTGCCAGCTGCCATTATAGGTAACTTTGTTGAATGCTTCTTCAAGGTGAGGTTTGCTTATAATCTAGTATTGAAGATTCTACATTAAGCATTACGTTACTACCTCTTCCTTCTTCAGCAAACGACCATGTCTTTTGGTCTATATAGTATAGTTGTCTCTTATAAATTATTCTGCTGTGTTCAAGTAAATCCAAAAATTCCCGCTTGGGCTCATCTACTATAATGGTTGAATCTATATAACGTTACATTACATTCTTGCAGTAGAGGAACTCCTTTACTCACTGTAGTTAAGCCGTAACAAAAAAAAACTTATCAATATAGATAGGTAGTCAAAGTCTTCTTTAACAAGAATAATACAGAAGTATTATCCTTGTACACTCCTTGGGCGTTTACAGGTGTCGATTCTGGCATGATTCTCTAAAGCTAAACTTAAATTTGACAAGAGTGTATCCTTGTCATTCTCTATACAGAATGAGAAGAAGAAACCGATGTAAAATTTAGTTTTAAGTTTACAGAATCGTGCCAGAATCCACACCACTGTCTGTAGAAACAGACAGTAAGCGCCAAAATTCGAAAAGAAGATTCGCTATAAAGGGGCCCATATACGGAACGATTGATCTGTACGATCCGTTGTTTCAGAGCGATCGAAACGATGGATCGACAGTGTATGTCAAGATCGTTAACGATTTACATAATCGCAGACGATATCGGAGATCGCAACAAAAACCCATGCAATCATGAATATCGTAAACGATCGATCTGCAGTGTCCCATATACGGTACGATTGATCTGTATCAATTGTCTGTATTTCCTTCAACGATCAATCGTTTCGTGTATTTCGTGTGGCATTTCTGAACGATCGATCGTTGACGATTTCCTTCAGATCGATTGCAATAACGAATCGTTCCGTATATGGGGCCCTTAAGTGGCATAATATCTCTCTCATTTTTTTGTTTTTTCTTTTATTCCAGCGCTTCTCGCGGGTTTTCTGGAGTTGCAACAACTTGTGATGATGATGTGCATTGGCACGCTGTTCTCCTACACAATTGTCGCAGTTTGCGTCATAGTATTAAGGTAAAAATGACAGACAAACAAATTAGAAAGATAACAGCTAATGTGCTGCCCTGTGCACTGTGTATACTCGATAGTGTAAAAACTAAAAAAATAACCACTTTTTTCTAGCAGTATAATAGACTGCACGTCAATTCTGTATCATGCAATCTCATTTTCTATTTTGTTGCTGCAAACTTAGATTAAAACAAAAAAGGGATCCGCTTAAATTGCGGTGCATGACCACAATAAAAGTATATTTGGTATGGCACCGCGACTATACAATAAATTACCAGAATGTTTAAAAGAAATATCCAATATCCAAACATTTAAAATGAGAGTTAAGAAACTACTTGTGGAAAAAGCTTACTATACACTAGAAAAATATATGACGGATAAATTTTAAATTAATATTGTAGTTCATTTGTATTCCTAATTTGTTATTTTATTTGAATGACCGATCTTGTAATTGACCTATAATTTAATTTGACATAATTTGTAATTTGACATTATCTTCATTTTGACATGTGTTCTAATTTGACATTACGGTAACATTTTTGTATACACGCCTGACATATTATTATTATTTTTCTTTTATTTGATTAACTGCGTTTATGCGTAAAAGTTTGACTGGAAACGTTTCCCTGGTTTTTAATTAAATTCCGTTTTCAAACAAATTAATTAACATACATCAAATTAATATTAAAAAAAAAAACACTTTATAATGTATAAATGAATATCTGATGGATAAGGACTTAATCGAGTAATATATAAATATGATTACGATGAATGATATTTAATATTGTGATGACTTTTGAATTTAAATTTATTGTAATTGTTATTTTTTTTATGTAGTATAATAATGTGTATCAGATGGATAAGGATTAAGTAAATGAAAAGAAGTTTAATTAAGATTACTAACAATTATTATTATGATGACATTTTATTTTGAATTGTAATTTAATTTTAATATTTTACCGTTATTAATTCTATATTTGTATGCCTGATGGCTGGTCGTAGTTGGACTGTATATTTAAGCATAATAACCATGTATTACCTATGTACCACAAATAAATAAATAAAAAATGAAAATGAAATGAAACAATTCGCTCTAGTCACAATTGAACATTCGAACACGCAGCATGTGCACTCAATATGACAATATTGCGTATATTCTGTTTTATAAAGATAACTATTAAAAAAAAAAAAAAAAAATACAATACCTTCGATGGTATTTTTTTATTTTTTATTTATTCAGGCATCGTAGGCCCATATAAATATAAGTATACCTTATAGTCTAACATAGATATCAAATATAAAATAATAACAAATTCTAAATAACACCGGAACACCACACCTTTCGGTCAAAGCTCCCCTTTCAAAAAGGTCGCCATATGTTCAGTCGGCCATATGTTCATAAAGAACACAAATAGTTCAAAATCAAAAATAAACGCCTCGCCAACGATTTTGATTTCTCAAAAATCACGGTTTGTCATGAATGATAATTACGTAATCGCCATTTTTTTTATCAAGAAAAGGACAACAATACAGCTCCGGCGTTCGGACTCTGATGCGGACTTGTCGTTTCGCTCGCGCTGGGTTGATGCTACAGTTCTATCTCGCTCGCTCGATTGAATTTTTATTTACAGACGTGTGCGTGTGTGCATGTTGCTTATGTAGTCCAGTCGGAGCATTTTTTTTGATGCTAGTATGAGCGTACCGTATCTTCTTTTTTTGTTTTATCTAATTCTTCGAATTATCAAGTATCTGTTTCTTTGCGACATTTCACCGTATAATCACGGAATGCATATTTAACTTCTAAAATTGGAAATAAAAGGTATATTTCATAAATAAGGTACATAAATTGGTTGTCATACATATTTTACGGACCGCGTATTTTGTTTGGCTGTAAGAGGCGTAGAAACATTACAATTTAATAAAACAAATAAAAATAGATAACATTGCAACGATTCTATTAATTTAAATTAAAATAATAAATTTCATTATGATATACGTAAAATAATAATCACAATCAATACCATGAGACCTTAAAATTAAAATGTGTCATTCAGAAATTCAAGTATCGTATAGAGTCTATGCGGAAAGAGAATGAGCGTGGCGAAAAACGGAACTAACATTAAGATTTTTATTTAGCAATCAAACCCAGCAATCTGTAAAACGTCAAAGTGTTGTATTGATACGGATTTGTTTGTTGTTGTGATTTCTTGCGGTTTTTTGTATTTAATCATGTCTAAAAGGGGTAAAACCTTACAAATACGGTAGAAAAGCACTACAGCGCCCTCCAATCTAAATCCCATTCTCTTTCCGCTCAGGCTCCAGTAACATTTTTCTGTTAATATTGCTGTCAGTTTATTTTTACACTATACAACTATGGAGCTATTGAACTCAGAAGATAAATTATATTTTATTACACACAAAAATAAAATGAACAGAATCATTTTCTAACCAATTCCTAAACCTAGTTGGATGATGTTTTGGTAAAACAGAGTTGGTGATATTACTGACAGGTATAGGTCGAATGCAGTCTCCCAGTCTACGTCGAGCACCCTCAGGCAGATCGTCAGCTGCGGCCAGAAGGTGCCCAACAAGACCACCTCCAACAGCGTCATCGTAATCCTCATCATTTACAGTGAGTCAAAGTCAAAATTTCTACAACAACTCTTTTGATACGTTCACATGTTATGGATTTTTTTTGCTGTGAAGATAAACAGGCAAAAAAAAAACTTCAAATCTATCTATTTCTCGTTTGTACTTTACTGCCAGCACTTGAACAACTATACACCAACACGAACAAAATCATGCCCGAAACCTGTCCAAAAGCTACATTGGACGATCCACGGAGCTCCGTAAGATAATCGCATAGTCTAAACAATATAGGTCATTATTTAAACATTGAAAATCACCTTTAATTAATTTAATAGGCTGATGATGATGATGATGAAATTGGAACTCCTGATTATTTGCAGTGTGCGTATGCGTCGCATCGGCGTTAGTATGGCGACTGGCCGCGACGCGCGCAGTCACCCTGGCGGCTCTTAACGTGCTGGCACTACTACTTGTGGCACTCATGTTCCTGCAGCCCACACAACAACCAGACCTGCCATTCAAGGTGCACACATCTATATGTATATAAAACTCAGAGGTGACCGACTGACATAGTGATCTATCAAGGCACAGCCCAAACCACTGCGGCGTGTGGCGACACTTAACTATCAAGTAGCTAATAACATCTTATTTATTTCCAGACTCCCTTCGTTCCAGTCATTCCTTGCCTCAGCATTTACTTCAATATACATTTGATGATATTCATTAATATTCAAACGTGGATAAGAGTTCTCATTTGGATATTAATCGGTAAGAATAATGAAACTCCGTTACGCCTCACTCTTTAGTTTTGGATTTCTTCTCAGCTGATATTAATATTTATAATATAACTAGCAGATGCCCGCGACTTTGCCTACTTGGAAAAAAATATCTTCTATCTCTTCACCGCCTTAAAGATCATTTCTGGGATGAAAAACTATCCTTTATACTTTCCTGGGAGTTCAACTATTTTTATACCAAACTTCATATAAAACCGTTCACCGGTTTAAGCGTGAAGAAGTTTCGGACAGACAGACAGACTTTTGAATTATAAATATGTATTAGTAACCCTTACAATAACGATGAAAGAGATTAGAAAATATTTTTAATCACAAAATCTTTTTTTTCCTTTGAGCTTTTTCTTCATATGATCGTTTAGTATGAACCACTATGCTGCTATATTTTTTGGTAATGTATGAAACTGTTTTTTGCAGGTATACCAATTTACATAATTTGCGTTTGTTGCTACAAACGTAACAAAAGTAACAATTTAGAAGAGAACATCAAAACTTTCTCAAATGTAACAAAAAATGGAAACACACACATTCAAATAATCGTCGAGGCTCCTACACCTCCTGGCACATTAGACAGAAGTAGTAATATTGAAGGAGGTAACAGAGATAGCAAAACGATGGAACAAAGAGGAGTCAATATTGAAATGAAAGAGAAAACTATACATAATGACATTGTTCCTTACGAAACTGAAGAAATAGTCATACAACATGCAGCAATTGTAGAAAATAACGAAGAAAAAGAAGCAAAAATTATATATTTGTTGGATAAAGTATTACAAGATGAAGAAGATAGTTACGGAGAAATCATAAGTTGGAAAGAACCTACAGATGATGACAATGTTTCGGCTAAGCAAGATATTACTTTACACAGAAAATCATTAACTGAATTATCAGATGCTGGATCAGATGCATCTTTAGGTAACAATGTTTTATCTAAATATGATGTAGTTGCGCAAGTACACAGAGAGGATTTACCAAAAGTGACAGAGGAGTCACTGGAAACGGGGGAAATCGAAGAGCTCGAAAATAACAATGAGGTAGAGGACCAAGAATTAGTAACTGCATTTAATGATAGTGAAACAAACTCCGGTACCGGCGAATCTGGATATTCCGATACAATTGATAAAACAGCGTTAAACGACTCAATAGAAGATGTACCAAATATACCTCCACCTCCTCCATTAGATGAGAACTACTTTGCTAGTCCTTATTTTAAAAAATCTTATACAGTTCCTAAGAGGCCTTCGAAATCAAAATTAGTAGAAATGCAAGACGAAGAAAATAAACCCAGGGAAAGCATTAATTCAAACAGTTCCATGGGCGACGGTAATTTGGTGTTCGGTAGTGACAGACAAATAACTTTTTTATCAAAATTGAATGATCTTTTTCAAAGTAAAATGTTGACTGACGATGTTGATGAACAAAAACGGAGATCAAACTCTGCCGGAAATGTAGTTGAAAATACTCCTTTCTCACCTTTCGTACGACCACCTATGTTTTTAGACTTACAAAAAGAGATCACTTCAAAGGAAGCGGCGCAAAATTTGCGTCATGTTTTGGAGGAGAAACCCAATCCACCAGACGAAGTAGAAGACGATGAAGCTGAAGATCAATCAATGGGTAAAGAAGCTCTGAAATCCAAGTTAGAGAACATTTTCGCTACTGGAGGTCCTCAGCTATTAAAACCAAGACTAATGAAATCAAACCCACCCACACCAGAAGAATCGTATCAAACGGACAACTCTAGTACAGAAAGCATAGCTAAACTGCCTAAAATGGACAAAAACGATACTCTCAAGAGACAAAAAGATAAGTTTAGTCAAGTATTGAACTCTTTTCGATTAAGTTTAAATAAAGAAGACAATGTGTAAATATTGAGAAAAAAGTGCAAAAAACACTAAGAGTTTCAGGTTGTGTGCCTAGTCTTTCGTTATTAAGGAGCTTATTTATATTATAATTATGAATGAGAAACCGCATGAAAAAGTGACTTTAGTTTTGTGTTAAATATTTTATTGATATATTATGATATTGTTAAGTTTTTGAGGATATATGAGATATTTATTATAATGACTGGTTCTTCCTATTTTCAGATAAAACCTGTCTAATTAAATTAAGATAAATAAGAAATGATTTTATTCATAATATTAAATATCAATTGGCAGTATGTTTTATGCAAAGTTTGTGTGAAAGACTTGTTAATACAGAAATAAATCCTGAAAAAACATTCAGGGTAGACTGATTGTGAACTAACTTTCTTAAAGTACACTTTGTGTATTGTAAATTTAATGAATATAACAAAGATTTAATAAGAAAAGGGGATATTAATAAAACAAATAATTAGAAACAAATTTTTATTTTGAAATACAACCTTTAGAAAGATAAGATTAATTAATTCCGAGTTTCCACCTTGTAAAGTTCCTGCACAACGCTTTGAAGTTGCATTTCCTTCGTGCATTGTTGGAGTAAGTCGTCAATCAATTGTTCGGAGATACTGAAAAGGAGTGATATAATTTTTAAATCAATAAATGAAAATTAAGTTTAAGGCAAGGCTTGTATACCGGTTAATTTTCAAACCTAAATCAGTGTCAAGTACATTAGGAGCGTTTTATTTAGGTTTGGCTCTACCTTAACCTTAAAAACCGGTTTTCCTAAAAAGCGAAATCAAATAGGTTTTGAATCAATTTAGCGGTTTTTAAGGGTTTCATTTCGCTCTTACTGAGGTCTGAAATAAATACACAACTACAAAATGAATAACTTGACTCACTAGACGCTAGCAAACGTGTCAATAAATGCATCAATCTCTGAGCATTAACAAGTTGTGACTTGATTAGTTCAAACAAAACAAACTTCAAGCGATGCCGACGCGTGCACGTGTCGCTCTGGATTAAACCGGTTTATTAATGTTTTAGGTACCGCTTTCATTTCGGACGCGCTCCGAACGAAACCTTTACTAAAAACCGGTATTAACCTTTATTTACCGGTATTTTTGAAACCGGTTTCAAGCCCTGGTTTAAGGGCTTGCGCTACCTTCAGCCTTGATGACAACCGAGTCATCGAGGCTTTAAGCGCCAGTTTTCCGTGCTCCTGCTTAAGGTAATGCAGGCTCTGAGAGTCCTCTGAGTTTAGTTTATAGGCAGGCCAACGAACACGCTCGGTATAATAATCTATTCATCGTGCTACTTCTGACCAGTAGCTTGGCTTATTCAGGAAAAGAAACTCAACAAAAGCCATTTGACAAAAAAAAAATGGTTGCCTGTAAAGTCGGTTTTACGGGCGAAGATTTTACGTGACAACGTCTTTTTCTCGGTAGAATATTTATTGATATGAATATAATTAAATTGCACAATAGGAACAAGGAATTGAATGAAAATAAGAATTGCACAAATTTTAACTATAGAAATATATTTTGTTTACTAAAACATTGTACATGTAAACTTAAACTTAACACGAGAGACTCATCGTAACGTTACCGAGCGTTACACTTTTTCATAAGTGACTCCCAGCCGCAACCTAATTTAAGACGTTGTCACGTCAAAATGGTTGCCTGTAAAGTCGGTTTTACGGGCGAAGATTATACGTGACAACGTCTTTTTCTCGGTAGAATATTTATTGATATGAATATAATTAAATTGCACAATAGGAACAAGGAATTGAATGAAAATAAGAATTGCACAAATTTTAACTATAGAAATATATTTTGTTTACTAAAACATTGTACATGTAAACTTAAACTTAACACGAGAGACTCATCGTAACGTTACCGAGCGTTACACTTTTTCATAAGTGACTCCCAGCCGCAACCTAATTTAAGACGTTGTCACGTCAATAGTTTTTTTTCCTCCTATTTTGTAGTATTTATCTCAAACACACTGGGAAATGAGAGCATTATTTTGACACCCTTCTTCGAGTTAAATTTAAATTGCTGTACTGGGCACATACATGCGAGCAGCGGCCGGCAAAAGTTCTATGAAAATCTGTCGAGTTTAGCGGCCAAAGAAACTGCATATTAAGCTCGTATGTGTAGTGTAATTTAAAAATAGAACGATCTTATACTCCGAAACATGGCAACCATGAAGGTACTTTATCAAAAGCTTTATTTAAATTTCGAACTGATTTGCAAATAGAAAGTTGTGTGGTGAAAAAACAAAGAAATAAATGAGTGTTGTTATGAGTTGTTTGTCATTGATTTTGAATCGGCAAAATTTTTCAGTTGCCCACATTTTATATGATCTAAAAATATATAAAAAATTTAAACAAATCACACAGCGTGAAATGAAATGAATGAAATGGAATGAAAGAAACGAAAATGAATAAACCTTTATTGGCCATCTTATACACAATAAAAACCTATGAATAAAAACAGAAAAAAAAGAGTAACTTAAGTTACTAGGTTAACCTAAGAACAAAAAACACAAACTAAGACGGCCAATCAGGACCAGGAGAGAATACTTTTTCAGTGTATTAGTGCTGACGCGCTGGATTTGTATTTGAATTTCTTTAATTGTTTTGCTTAGGTAGGCACTACTTAATTATCACGCTTTATTTGAGAAAAGTACTATTCAAGTCTTGGCTACAAATAGGCATTGGCTAACGTATGCGTGCCTTGGCTTCGCCTCGGGCCACATTTATACGTTTGTCCATCAATGCCTCTTTTGCTGTTATCTGCAGTTTTGTACTATTATAGTTTAGAAAACCTTGTCACTGACCTGCCAATCATCTCCCAAGGTTTGCCGATGGTGCAGTTGGCGTACATTGGATGAGTCAGCATATGTTGCACAAACTTAGTGGCGGTATTGGAACATGCGCTCCGCAGGGGGCTCCGAGATGTTGAACGGCAGCTATTTAATTTCATTGGGATTTCATAAAAAAACTGATGACTAACGACCTTGTCACTGACCTGCCGATCATCTCCCAAGGTTTGCCAATGGTGCAGTTGGCATACATTGGACTAGGTACGTTGCACAAACTTGGTGCGGTATTAGAACATGCACTCCGCAGTCTGCTCCGAGATGTTGAACGGCAGCTATTTAATTTCATAGGGATTTCATAAAACAACAGATGACTAACGACCTTGTCACTCACCTGCCAATCATCTCCCAAGGTTTGCCGATGGTGCAGTTGGCATACATTGGACTAGTCAGCATATGTTGCACAAACTTGGTGCGGTATTGGAACATGCACTCCACAGTCTGCTCTGAGATGTTGAACGGCAGCTATTTAATTTCATAGGGATTTCATAAAACAACAGATAACTAACGACCTTGTCACTGACCTGCCAATCATCTCCCAAAGTTTGCCGATGGTGCAGTTGGCATACATTGGACTAGCCAGCATATGTTGCACAAACTTGGTGCGGTATTGGAACAGGCGCTCCGCAGTCTACTCCGAGATGTTGAACGGCAGCTATTTAATTTCAAAGGGATTTCATAAAACAACAGATGACCAACGAACTTGTCACTGACCTGCCAATCATCTTCCAAGGTTTGCCAATGGTGCAGTTGGTATACATTGGACTAGCTAGCATACGTTGCACAAACTTGGTGCGGTATTGGAACATGCACTCCGCAGTCTGCTCTGAGTTGTTGAACGGCAGCTATTTAATTTCATAGGGATTTCATAAAACAACAGCTGTCACTGACCTGCCAATCATCTCCCAAGGTTTGCCGATGGTGCAGTTGGCATACATTGGACTAGCCAGCATATGTTGTACAAACTTGGTGCGGTATTGAAACAGGCGCTCCGCAGTCTGCTCCGGGATGTTGAACGCCAGTTTGAGCTTGTCTATGTTCGTTCCGGTCGTCGGTTTGTGGAACAGTGTTTTAGGTACTTTCTTCTGTATAGTTTCTTCTAGAATCTATGGAAAATTTAAGATTGTATTTCAATAAAAAAAAAACGCAAGAAATTACTTAGTCGTTTGTCCGAATTCCATAGGAAATGTATTTCGAGCTAACGAACAAGTGTAATAGCGCCTTTATACGCATGAATATCTGGGCTATTAGGGTTGCCAGATGCTGGTTTATTAATTGCGGGATGTTTACCCCCCAAAGAATTAAGCTTAAAATCAAAACCCCCATCACCCCCCAGAATTAAAACATCAAGCATCTCAGGAGTCATCCGTTAAATGTATATTTTGTAATGAAACTAGCACATTATCGATTATCGGAATCCGGGATAATAAGGCCTTATTACTGGACACGGGACAAGATGCAAAATTCCGGGACAATCCCGGATTTTCCGGACATCTGGCAAGCCTAATCGCTATGAAGAAAATAACATTTAACTTAGGGGCAATAAAGGCCTTAGTATACGTGTTGAACACTTTAACTATATCTAAAGTTGGACACATACTATCTATACTCTAAACTGAGGAGGACGATGGCGCAAGTGGTTAGCGTGTACGGTCTGCGATATGAATTTAAGAAACTTTCGCAACATCTAGTCATGGGATAGGTGACCAATAATTTACTACCTCGAGCTCCTCCGTGCTAAGGAAAGTATGTTAACCCGTTGGTCCCCGTTGGTGCGTCTGCAGTCTTTAGCACCCACCAATCTCCCTGTTCTATCGATACACCTGTGCCTCAGCTACATAACACAGAAAGAGGTTAGAAGGGTGATCATAGACCGTTTGTAAAGGAACCAATGTCACCGGCTCGTCCCCACTACTTTTCCACCTAATAGATAATCAAACGACGCGACATCAATAGTAAAATATAATATATATATCGATAGTAAAATGACAATGTAAAAAAACAAATGAAATTGTATTTAAATGTCACTCAATAAACAGTTTATCAACTTGTACAAGAAGTCTAAATATCAAGCTGGATGAAGTTGAACCTTAAATTACCAATTACAAGGGACAAAAGGATAC